ATTTCACTATATTTTATAGTTCGTTTTGGCCTCAAACATATATTTATAGTTCATCTAAACACGAAGATATAGCAGAATGAACACACATTTATAGAACACCATCTTATTACTCTATGTGTATAATAAAGCACGCTTTGGAAATATAGTTACATGTACCTATATTTTCCAAATATTCCAATTGTATTGACTATATAAAATAGTTAATTTCTCTTACCATTTAATATTTGCTACCTTACTATGTTTTTTATTTCAAATAATTATAATTCTTGGTAAAAGTTTGAAATCAGTGCTTATACTGTGTGCTTATCAGTTTAAGTTTTGAATCAGTGCTTATACTGTGCTTATATTGTAAATATTACAAACATTATGATGACATTTACTATAAAAAAGATATTCCTAACTATAATCTTTTTACTATGCTATTATAGTTCCAAATATCATACATTTTTCTCTCAGTGTATATGGGACCGAAGCGTATATGAATCGCGCGTGAAACCGCGCAGGAAATCCGCGAAATAAATCCCGCGCGCGTGCATAGCGGTCCGCTCTCATCCACGTCTGTGCGCGAATTAAATCAATAGCCGAAAACGAGCACAACTAATGTCATTTCGCGGTTTGAAAGCGGGAAATTGATCAGGGTAACGCGATCATCGTCGACGTTGCGCGTGAGAGAAACAAGATAAGATACGCGAGGGAACAGAATTTTGCTGGATCAACCGAATGCCTGATGAAATATCAACGGACCGGAGTTCCGATGGAAGTTACCGGAAAATCGGGATCTTGTTAACTTGAAGAAAATTCTTCAACTCGGAATTCTGCTTCGTTCATATTTTTGCCAGACATTCGGTTAATGCAATCAAATTTTTTTTCCCGTGTATCTCATAATAATTTATTGCGAGACCTTGCACGTCTTTCAAAATCTTTATCTCGCCTCAACTTCGCGTGACCTACTGAAAGTGGTTCTGTACTTTTTTCTACACGCACCGTAGCGATTTCTAGTGGGAGAATGAAACATCTATGTTTTTTTATTCTCACGAGTTAGTCTGAAATTAGTTGTTCTCGCGTCGATTGGTGTCGGGATAATAAGATTCGCGAGCCCCGAGTAATACGATCAGCCAAAAGACGTGAATCCTAACAGAAAGGTCGCCGGCATAAATCTGCCGACTGGTTCTATTAATCCTTCTTTTTTCCTCTCCTCTCTCCTCTTCTTCTTTTTCCTCCCTTTTCCTTTTTTTTACGTAACACCTCATCTCATCCGCGCGGATCGTTTTCCTTGAGCACGGCCGGTTTCTCGCCAATATCGTAGCTTCGTTAGCGAAACGTTGCGCAACGACGAAGAATTAATTCTTGCCACGTAGCCGCTCGCACACGCGCGATATCGCCAACTTCGTTATTACCTTCGTTATAACGCGGCTAATCACAATGACTTGTCTAGTGTAGCAAAAAGAAAGACACCATCTCGCATAATCACGCTGATACAAGACGTGAGATTTATAAACACTCAATCGATTTGTCTGCGATGCCACGACGATTCGCCTAAGTCTCGCCCTTTGAAGACATCGCGACATGAATACTGCATAAGGTATCGTAAGATATTCTCTGGAGGGAATTGCTGTTCCGCCAACAAATCGTTCAGAAAGATAGAACTCTAGGAATGTCAATTTCTTCTAATTAAAGGAAATTCCTCCCACAGCCATCGATATTAACATATGTATTGCAATTGAATTTCAACACCAACAATATGTGCTTCTACTTGCCGGCGACACGGGGCGACCGATATGTACGAACGAAAGTGCGGATTAGTCAAAGAGGCAGGACTACGAGTCGAAACACGTCACATCCTCGCAGAACGTACTTCGCGAACGCAACGCGAAAAGTAGCACGGCGCACACGGCGATAATACGCGTCATCGTCCGTCAGGGTCATCGGTCACGAACGCACACGTGGACAATGACGATCGCGAAACGTCCCGAACGTTGTGTCTTTTTCGCGACACATTTTTACGACACGTTTTCGCGAGCCACGTGCGACCGACGAACGTGCGAGTCGAAAGGACCTCCGGATCGATAAAGCCCCGTTTTGGACACTGAGAGCCTTCACTACGAGATGAGACAAAAGGAAGTGTCATTTCGCGAATCCGGTGAACGTGCAACCAGTGGCTCGAGTTAATCGTGATTGGAATTGATCGGCCGACCTTTCCAAAACTATTGATGATTCACCGTGAAACGAGACACGTGAGACGACGGTCTGAAAAATATTTCGACTCTTCTGAAGACGCGCGCGGAAAAAAAGTCAACATCAAAAATCTGTCTGTGGTAACTAAATATCGTTGTAACATATGGATACTCCTAAAAGTATAACTGCCAGCACATACTTGGCGAAACTGAGTGAAACCAATGTAGTAGCAATGTTAAAGAGCGACAAAGTATTCTGCACAAAGTAGTTGAAATAGAACTAGTCCAATATAAAGATTACCTATCTCTCCGACTCTGAACGCGGCCAAACAAACATTCAAGCATCGCGCAATCGACCCCCCACCGGGAGCAAGCGCCGACGGGATTGATAACAGATCTTTGTATAACGATCTCGCCCTCTCGTATTTCAACCTCTCGTCGCGACAGGTGCGTTAATATCAAATCTATCCAGTATAAATCGAGCGCTAGGAAGAGTTTCTGCGAGTCGAAACGCGCTTCGTGAAAAGTCAATACTTTCGGAAAAGACGCGTGCGCCCGCCGGCGTCGCCACTTCTAGCATCGCACAAGTTTCTAATTCGAACGACGAGACGAGAAGAAGAATGAGTACATCAAGGCCGGATCGTTTAACCACTGGTTGTCGTTTCACTGGACCAGCCAGCGGCCGAGAGCCATTATCGACTGAATTTATGTATTTGTCCGGCGGTGAGCACCTCGACGTCGTGGTGCGAAGAGAAGGAGAATCGTCAAGTTAACACAGCATCAGCCGTTGATTCGCAAAAGTTAAATACGAAAGATTCACGAACTTGTGAACGAGCGAAATGAGTCGTTTAGTTGGATCCTGAGAGAAACCGCGAGTGTGGTCCCACTTTATAATTAACCGTAGTTATGCAAGAATGATCCAACTCAAGTATGAAGTTTCGAAAAAGATGAAGATGAAAATCTGATACGTAATTTAAAAAGCACAAATAGCACTTTAACAAGCCGTCGTTCAACGAGTCAAGCAACGAGATTATTTTCTTTTCTTTATTATTTTATTTTCTTTTCTTTAAGGGAATTCATTGACAAGTTTAACTCTGAAGAAAATTGATGAAAAAAACGTAACTAGTAGAAAATAAAAACTGTTTTTGAATTAATTAGAAGCTTATTTATTAATAAGACTTCGATCTATTTTGTCTTATGTTGAAAGACGTATGGACTACCCAACAAACAAAAATTCAAAAATTGTACTTTGTAGGTCGAATCACATTCTTGCATAACTATGACCAATAGGATCAATAACTTGATCCCAAACTCTGTCATCAATATGCTACAGTGTGTACAAGGAGGAATGAAGCCGCGAAAGCGGAGAGGATTCTCTTGTGTTGTTTTTTTTTCCTTCAACAATCGCGTATACGACGCGTGTACAATAATGAAAATGATGTCGAAGAGAAACAAAACAACAACTCGGTCGCATCGATGTCAAACTGATTAGTACTTTCGGTGTCGTGTCAATCTATATATTGTTATACAGAGATAATCTCCCTTTTTTTCATCTCAGTCTCTCGTGACGCGTAATATCGCGAGTGTAAAATCACGACTTAAACAGAACACGAGATTGGCAAAGTCGATGAAGAGTAAATAAACAGGCAAGATTACGTCGTTCCTACTCATCCAGCGGAAACTGGATATCGTTCACAACCGTCAATTATAATTGACACGCGAGAAATGAGACGTTGACTATAGTCGTCGCGCGTATAAAAAAGGTCAATCAAATGTCATCTTCTTGTATACATAGAAGATCAGGCAATTGTTAAAAAGAAAAAGGAAAGAGAAAAAAGATACACAATAGGAAACCGTCAATAGTGCCCGTCACAACTTTCTTCGATTTTAAGAAATCCTGAGAAAAATAACTGTGGTACTTTTGCTGAAAGAAAGAAGAATTGAAATTCACACAAACAGATCCGATGCAATGCCGAGAAAATGTACTTTCGAGATAAACGAATGTCAACCGAAATCGATACGAGAGATCGCGCGTCCACGTTAGAAATCCATTAATAAACTTTGGTGAAAATCGACAGGATGGAGTGTGCCTTGTTAGCCGAACAGGACTGTCGATGCAAGCCACCTCGTGGTGAGCCTGGAGCCCCGAGGCGTTCACCTGCTATTCTCCCGGGGATGCAAACTCGATCGTTACCGGAACGCATCCCGACGCAATACGTTTACGCGGAGCGAAAGCGTGCCAGCGTAGCCACGGGATTCGCCGACACGTTTTCGAGCTCGAACGCGCTCAAATAATGAGGCTAATGATAGTAACGACTGTGTGGTAGCGGTCAAAGCCGAAATAGAATAGAATACGAGAGTGGAACCGTGCGCTTTGATGTAGTTGGTTAGTTAGTTACGTGGAGGTTCAGAGTCCCGGCCGAGAACTGTTGCGGCGCATATCGCGCTCTCGGCGCGTACAGTGTTCTCTTTTTTTGCTCCCCGGAGCACTACATTCGGGAAAAACACCCGGGACTAAACTATCAAACTTGTGTTGTTAGATGTCCTCGATAGACTCATAACAACACGTGTTCACGATATCTCGCCTAAATTACAACCAAGTACAGTTTTCAGCGTGCCCTTCAACATTTCGAAGATCTGAACGAAACTCTATGTGATAATTTGTCATTTATCTTAGGCCCAGATTGAACGAAGAGAAAGCTTCAACGAACCAATCAATGCGCCTCGATGCAACCAGTCGGACAGTGCAACAGGGAGCGTGTGGGTTCGCACGTCGCCTCAGCACACGGCAATCGCAACAGGATAAAAATTCGACATTGCACTCACCATATGAAATCCTTGCAGTGACTACAGAAGGTGGGCTGCTTAAAGAATCTCGGCATGAAGTTGTGATTTTTGACGACGTAGACATTCTTCTTCTTGAGGGCACCTTTCCGGCCCCGTAGCTTCTTGCCGAAGACGGTGTTGGTGTCGCCGGGCCCGAGGGAATCCTCGCACGTGTAGTTTTCCAGATCATCCGCCATGGTGCCGCCGCTGATGACGATGACCAATCGACAACGGCTCGCCGACGATGATGATGTCGACGACGGTGGGATGCCGAGCTACTCGCGCGGCTCGTCACCGGGGATGCCGGTCTCTCCGGAGCCTGTCAAACGCGCGGTGCCGCGTCTACTTTCGGCACTCGGTCCCGCGGTTAAGTTGGCTGCTTGACGACGACGACGACGACGATGACGAGACGATCGAACGTCGGCACGGAGAAGAGAACGCGCGCGTGAGCTGTCACACGGCGCACCGACCGACGACGGTGTGTCTCGCGCGCGCGACGCTTGACGGACGATGGGAGGGAGCGAGCGGAGAGGAGCTGCGGGGGAAGAGAGGGATTGAATGAGAGTGGGAGAGAGAGACAAACGGCAGCCTGCACTCGGTCGACTTGGGCGCGCGCGCTTCGTTCCAGCCGTCGTCTAGCGTACTCTGCGATGTCCAACGCGAGCCTAGGTGCTAGATAGCGCACTCCGGTACTGTGGAGGTAGCCTTCCTCTTCTCCTCCACCTCCAACCCTTCTCTCGGCCCGTTTCTCCCTCTCGATGGTCCCGCCGGGTGCTGCGCTTTCGCTTCCTCTATCGGCGCGCGTCTTGCTCCAACTTCACACCGGTAGTCTAGCCCCCTCTGCCTCTCTCTCGCTCGCACCGTCCTTGTCTCTGCGCGGTAGCGGCGCGCGAATCTACCTCACTTCACGGCGCGCACACCGCGCTCTCCCGGCATCGACTGCTCGACTCTATCGCGCGTGTTTCCTTCTTCTTCCCTCTCGTGAAACGCGCTCTTCACTCGCTTTCTCTCTTTCCTTCAGTCAAACTCGGCCACCTCTCTCACTTCCTACTACGCTCGTACTAGCCATTACTACTACTTGTACTACTTGCTCGCGCTGTCTCTCTTCTGCTCACTCGCTGCGTCAAGCGGTCTCACGGTCGCGTTCCTTCTCCAACGCCCACTTTTCCTTTTCACGCTTGCTCGCTCTCTCTCTCTCTCTCTCTCTCTTTCTTTTTCTCTCTCTCCTTTTCTCTAAGGCCGCGTTTGTCGTCCCTGCACTGGATTAGCTGTCACACTGTATACATCGTTGGTCTGTCCATCTCGTTTTATGCTGTTATTACCGCTCTCTCTTTCTCTCTCTCTCTCTCTCTCTCTCTATCTTTCTTCACTCATATGACTGCTACGCGCCTCTGTTCCTTCTCTTTCCTCTATATAAGCCGCGCGCGCGCGGGCTATCCGATAATTTTAGATTCTCGGCGCAGTGGCTCGGCGCTGCCACTGCTCAGCCTGCGCCGCGCACTCGAATATCGACATCCGACGGCGGCCACGAGACCCGCGAGCTGCACGCGGCGCCGTAATGGGCGAGGATGGAGGAGGGGAGGTGGGAGCGGGAAAAGCGTGTATGTTTTCCCCTTTCTTGTTCTCTTTCTCGCTTCCTTCCTTTCGTCCTTCCTTCCTTCTTTCCTTCCTTCCTTCCTTCCTTCCTGTAATCTGCCAGTGTCCAGGTCGTGCCCTTCCCTTATTCTTTCATGCTCGCGGAATATTCCCTAGGGCTTCGCCTCGCGGCTACGAGTGGGTGGTGGAAGCTCGACCTCTGCCTTCGCCCGCCTACACCTGACCTAACTTTTACGCGTGTCTCTCTACCTCGCTGTTTCTTGCTCTTTTGGCTTCTTCTACTCTCGCTCATCCTTCTTATTACCAGTTCTATCTATTCGGAACGACGGCTAGATCCGTGGAACATCGCTGAGACGTATATATTTGCGTACGAAACGCGGAGATCAACCCTTCCGTGGCTGGTTCTATTCGCCATTAGAGCGTATATACGTAGCGGCAACTTCACACCGCTCCGGATTCGTGCGGCATTCGGCTCTTTTCGACTTGTTCACGGAAACGCACGACGTACCCGCCGCGCCGGCTAGCATCACGAGCTGTATCAACGTGCAGTGGTTATGACCGTCTGGTGTCAGACACTTCCTTAGCTGTATCCTTACTAACGTCGCATGTGCCGTTACGATCCGACCAAGTCGCGATCTCGAGGTGGAGGGTGGCCATGTCCTTATCCTTGAGAAAAAGAGAAAGAGAGTTTACCTAACTTAACCTCCATGTCATGAGAGAGTTAATAATAAATCTTTATGAATATTTATATATTTTAGTGTGGAAGGGAGAGTCGCCTTTTCTCTCATTCACATTATTTTGCCCGAGCATGTACAACACCCGTGTCTGGTCCTTCGATATTTTATTCAGTCGCTATGTATTTAAAATTTAACGTTCGATTTCGATGGCGCGACCTCGGTAAAAATTTCCTCGTGACTAGCACGCCCGTAAATCATGGATTTATAAATAAACATGATGTATACACGTACACGTAAATTTTACATCTGCCGATACTTTTACTATCTCCGCGAGCGCGTGGTGTTGCGCATTTCTTCTTCCCGAAGATATCGTCGCGTGCAGATTACGCCTCGGACAAATGAATTTCAGATAGAATAGACCGTGCCGAACGGCGCGGCGGGTAAGATAATAAGATCGATGACACGGAATCTCACTAAGGGAGAGAATGGGCCGCGGCCCTTCCATCGCGTGCCACGGTAATGGAGCAATAATGCGATCGTATTTGACGATAATGCACGAATTCGTGTAGGCTTCCATCTCGCGCTCGCGATCCATCGGCTTTCATTCGGGCCGACGAATATCTTTCGACATCGGGCATCGATCGCGGTCGCTTCTCGTCGTGTCGGAAAACGCAGAAATATGGAGAAACCGCGTTCTGGCGGGAGAAGCCACTGACGAGACGCAGAAACCGTCTCGTTGGGCTCGTGGTCGTCTGTCCGCTTAGCATCGTCCATATGTACCTGCACCCCCGGTTAGAGAGACGACACGACGACGACGATGATGTGCTATAGCTTGATCCTAAGCCGGTCAGCTGGAAAGACTGTAACCCAAGTTGTGACGTGCGGGTCAATAATACCCCCGGGCTATTTTTAATAACGTGACCATGCACAGAGAGTCCTCGCGAGCGCGCGCGCACACACACGCACACACCAGATAGCACACACGTGCAGAAAGTGTATGCGCCGTGTGTCCCGGAATGTCCGCGGGGTATCCCGCAGGACCGCGGAAGTACCGATGTAAAAGTTCACCCATTTAAAGGACACGCTGCCCACGCTCGGCATGACCGGGTCACCGTCCAGAAAATTACCAGGCGAATGCGCCACACAATCATCGATAATCGACTGTCGTTAATTACGCATTATGTTAATGCGCATTGACGATCGTAGATGAGATTGTTGAATGTACAAATTCAGAATTTTTTCTTTTTTTTTCGACAAACGATTTTGTCACGATGTCTTCAACTTACTCTACGGAATAACATAGCTCTATTGCGCATTGTTTCTGCTTTTTCAAATTTGTTAATCCTCTTTAACTATTATATGTCCTAAATCTCTCTTTTTCGATTTCACACACTTGACACGATATAGGTAAAAAAATTTATAGATAAAAATTCAACCGCTTAACATAGTGGTTCCTAATAGATTTTACAAATCCAAAATTTCTATTACGAAGTTAGCTCCTCAGCCAATTTCAGGTAATACGTTCGATGCAAGAATTGATCAATAATCAATTAGTAATCGATTCATAATCGATCGATAATCAATTCATAATCGAATAATTTTCGTGAGCTTGCTCGCTCAAGAAGGACGAAAACAGTGACAGTCATGTACATGGAATCTATCTTCGCGATAGATCCAAGCTAGAATTACACGATGCACGATTTTTTCATGCCTTCTTACATGCATTGGCAGTTCAGTTCACTGTACTAGGGAGATCTATACAGTGAACTGAGCTGCCAGTCAATATATATAATGGAAAGGTACGAAATCGTGCATCGTGTTTCTGGTTTTTTAAATTTATCTAATCTAACCCGCCAATTACTCACTAAACACCTTGTTCAGACATATTTTTCTTTAAAGCGCCGTACAATTAAAATGAATAAAAAATTTAATTAAATATAAGATTGAACTGACAACGTAGGAAGCAGCTCTTCCAAGGCAGCTGTCGCAAATAGAAATCTAAAGAACATCCTGAACATCTTTTTAAAAAACTTTTACATGTCTCTCGGGCCTCCGTATTGTTCGAGGCGAGTACGAGAGCGCCGATAACTTTCGAGAGCACGATCGATAGACGCGAGAGGTGAGATTGGTACAATTAAGAATAATAAACTCGGAACGCGGACTTTACAGTGCCGCGAACGAAAACATGAATCATCGAGATACCATCAACCGAGATAAGATCAAATGCAAGGTCTGTCGATTGCAATTTTTCGTGTCCTCTGAAAGCTCGCGTTGCACACAATTGTCTTGCATACTTAAACAATATCGGCGCGAACAAACTTGATATCTGTGTGGATTTTAGTCGCTGGCAGTTGCTTACCTTCGACTGTTTAGTGGAAACATGACTGGTCCAAATAAAAATTCAGTCAAAATGAGATCCACTTGACATTAAATAAGAAGAGACTGTGGTTGTCCATTTTTTTCGAAGCCAAAATCCATAGGGTGTCTTATGATATCATTGACTTTATAGGTTTTAACCTGTACGGTTATGTATCGCTTGTTATAAAAAATTAGTGTATATATAAAATATAAGTGTGGTGTGATAGACAAACGTTTATAAAAGTCAATAATAATTTTATCACGAAGTGCTTCGTACTATCACGCATTCCTCGCAGATCTACTCGCAATACATTCCAAACAGATCACCATGTTGTGACTCACCTCTTTGTTTTCTCCGAACTTTATAGGACGAGATGGCGCCACTTACTATATCTCAACGATCCTCGATCAGTGACGGATTAAGAGATACCTCCGATATAAATAAATCAATCCCCTCCCATTCCATTGCCAATTAAAATTTAACGGAATTAGAAGAAATTAAGAATTACATTTTCAATTACTTCTACTAAGGAGTACAGCATAGTAGAGTAAGAGGGCAAGTATTCGATCAACAAAAAATCTCGATGCTCTAAAAAGGAACTCGGTGCCTATCCGTGCAATCCGTCACTGACCCTACACATCTGTTAGTTGCGTTCGAAGTTGACGACGCGTCTCGAGAAGTGTCGCGATAAAACGCGATCAGGTTATCTCACGTTCGGCAAAATGCCGAGCTTTAACTGGCGTATCGTGCTATTCGTTATCATCTGCGTATCACTCGGTAAGTGGCTAAACGTCACATAATCTTCCCGCTTTACTGTTTTTCCCTTAGCTCTCTTCTTATGACGAGTGTTTTGTCGCAGGCCACGCCCTGGAGTGTTACGTTTGTACAGATCAAGAGGGTAATCGAGACAAATGCCTGAACACCATTCAAACCTGTGGCCAAGAGTACGATTCCTGTTACACGGAAATTAAATGGGGAAGTGAGTGCGCGTCTTGTCATTACCTTTTATTTGTGAGGTTATACATAGTATCTTGTGTAAGCCTCGAATGCACGTTTGTCTATCAGTTCTTCATTTTAGCTAAGTAAACAATATCATACAATCACTCTCAAGAACCGATAAGAAAACATTTACTTTAGTTAATTAGTATATTTCAACATTGATATCTCGATACCGGTACTTGAGTATTTTGTTTTCAGTAACATGAGTATAATTCTTTTAATCTCAATGAGATAATTGAATTAACTAGATGTATGTAATCGTACGCTATAGCGAATGTTTTTGCATCCAATTGCGTTGGAAGATATTTTTGCATCTGACTGCATGTATATGAATAATAAATTCAATATGTGGTTTTGCAGGTACACCATACTGGTCACAGGGTGCACAGAAACAATTTTATGTCTCCAAAAATTGTACCAGCAAGGAAGAATGCATGAAGCGACAGCGGAATAACATGCCTGATTGCACACATATATGGTACCAGGACTGGAAATGTTCAGATTGTTGTCAGGGTGACAGATGCAACTATTATATTGTAGTAAGTATGATTTTGTCCATAATTTCAAGAAAATGGAAATATGTTAACAAATATTTCATCACTTGTTTCAGTCTGTTGGCAGCAAAATAGCGTTATACAACAGCATACTTACTGCAACGCTCCTGATCTCATTACTGGGTATATTCAGATTGCAGTGATAATCGTTCTACAGAGGCACAAGTAATAACGATATATAAGTAATAACCATGGTATAATTATTGTGACAAATAATTATAGCATAATTAGCTGGCGTTTTAGTCAGCTAATGAACAGTCAATCTGCCCACTGCAGACTGAACATGCAAAGTTCATTTTTTTTTTAGTACAACACTGGTTACTAACAAAGATTATGCCAGATAATTTTATATTTTTCTAATACATGTATAGATTAAGTTTTATCTAATCTTGTACAAATTATCTGAACAATCAGGCCATCATAAATATCCGTATTAATGGCCTTATGATACATGTTTTAAGATAAGAATTTTATTTGGATAAGCAAATATTACATGCTTTTAAATGGTTGTTATTTAACGTCACGAATGTTTGTTGCAAGTCAAAATTTAGTCTCAGTTTTATATTTCTTTAATTATCACTGATTTTTTTATTCTAGTAAGGAACTACGACTGTGCATTGCACGCTAATCCGTCCAATTGAAATAATATTCCATCCATTAGAATATATATATAATTTTTGTACACTTATATTTATAATATACTCTTTGTTACATATATATATATATATATATATATATATATATATATATATATATATATATATATATAG